TCTGTCTCTCACACACACACCCTATACCTACTCTATTAAGTTGAAGCATATTTTACTCACAGGGTTTTCAAAGATTTATTATTTTTGTTGTTGTTTTGGTTTTGTTTGTTTGATTTGACACAGGGTCTGTGTAGACCTGCCTGTCCTGAAACTCACTATGTACAACAGGCTATCCTTGAACTCACAGAGATCCACCTGACTCTGACCCCCAAATTTGAGGAATAAAGGCATGTGCCACCACACCCACTAAAGATTTAATTTTTTTATTTTATGTATATTTGTGTGAGAGTTTAAGTGTGTGTATTACATGCTTGCAAGTGTCTTCAAAGGCCAGAAAAGGCATCAGATCCTATTGGGGAATATTATTTTCAAGGGTGTGACTTTTGTTTATGCTGCATTTGTTTAACTCTGTGAAGCTATGTTACTGTGCCTTTCTAAAATACCTCGTGGTCCTAATAAAGAGTTGAACTGCCAATAGCGAGGCAGGAGCAAGGATTGGCAGGGCTGCCAGGCAGAGAGGATAAATAGAAAGAGAGGCAGAAAAGAGCAAGGAGAGAACCAGGGCGAGAGGATGTCAGGGGCCAGCCACATAGTCATCCAGCTACACGGCGACCCATGGAGTAAGAGTAAGAGTTGCAGAAATAAGAGAGCAGGAAAAGCCCAGAAGCAAAAGGTAGACAGGATAGGTAAAGATAAGAAAAGCTGTCTAGAAACAAGCCAAGCTACGGCTGGATATTCATAACTAAGAATAAGCCTCCATGTTAGTTATTTGGGAGCTGGGTGGTGTCCCCCCGCCCCTCTAAAAGCCGAAAGAGTCAAAAGAGAAAACCCATTTCAAACAATAAGATCCCCTGGAACTAGAGTTACAGGTGTTTTAAAAAAAAAAAACCTCATATGGCTTTTCCGCCATCTTTCCATGGTGCGCATGAATTCCTGGATGATGCTCTGAAGAGCATCAACAATGCTTAGAAGAGAGGCAAACGCCAGGTCCTTGTCACGCCCTGCTCCAAAGTTATCATTCGGTTCCTAACTGTGATGATGAAGCAAGGTTACATTGGTGAATTTGACATCATCGATGACCACAGAACTGGGAATATTGTCATGAACCTCACAGGCAGGTTGAGCAAGTGTGGCGTGATCAGCCCTAGATTTGATGTGCAGATCAGAGACCTAGAAAAATGGCAGAGCAATCTGCTCCCATCCCGTCAGTTTGGCTTCATTGTACTGACAGCTTCAGCTGGCATCATGGACCATGGAGAAGCAAGACAAAAACACAAGGGAGGGAAAATCCTGGGATTCTTTTTCTAGAGATGTAAAACACATAAATAAAAAGCCTCCATAAACACAAAACAAAAAAAAAACAAAAACCTTGTATGAGCCAGGCGGTGATGGTGCACGCCTTTAATTACAACACTCTGGAGGCAGAGGCAGAGGCAGGTGGATCTCTCTTTGAGTTCGAGGCCAGTCTTCAAATAGAGTTCCAGAACAGTCTCCAAAACCTACCGAGAAACCCTCTCTCGAAAAACCAAAGAAACAACAACAACAAATTCTTATGGGTACGGAGAACTAGACTGAGGTCCTCTGAAAGAGCAGCAAGTGTTCTGAACTCATGAACTCATGAGCCATCTTTCCAGTCCTTCCCCACAGAATCTTAGGACTCTGAGATTTCTGTGTGATATGTGTGGTGCTGGGTATTGTATGATAGTGGAGACTTAGCACTGACTTCACTTGTAACCATTCAAAGAGGTGTCTTTTAACTCAAAATACACGAACATGGCTTACGTTCAAAGCTTTAATTTGGGCAATGCTATGAATAACTGGGTTTAAAATGCCATCTCCTGAGACATGGCTTGCCAATGCATAGTCAGTAATCCTTATTCTAACTGCTGCATTTTCAAAGGGAGCCAGAGATAAATATGCAAGCCTTTGCAGGGAATAAGGGGTGAGTATGAAGATACTTAAGGTGGCCGGAAGCTTACTTACAAAAAATGATGAAATGGCAAGGGATGTTTAGAAAAATTTGTAGTGATGTAGTGAGCTACATAAAAAGGGTCTTTTTTCCCCCATGGATAAATGTTATGGACTCAAAAATCATTGTTAAAATTATTAGTGGCTAGCAAGGTGATCCAGCAGGTAGAAAGGTACCTGCTGTTCTCTTAAACCCACATAATGAGGGGAAAGCTAACTCTCTCAAGGTGCTCCATGATCTTCACATATGCTATACACACACACACACACACACACACACACACACACACACACACACACAGAGCAAATAAATGCAATAAGAATTAAAATCCCTATTAGTACTAATTCATCCTTCCTTCCTTCCTTCCTTCCTTCCTTCCTTCCTTCCTTCCTTCCTTTATTCCTTTGAGATAAGGTCTCACCCTGTAGCCTGAAACTCATGGCAATCCTCCAGCCTTCTGAACACGGGGATTATAGGTGGGAGCCAGCACATCTGGCTAATGAGATTTTTAAAGTTCTTACTATAAACACCTCTTCTGACCATACATTTTCCTCTAAACAAACAATGGTGGTGGAAAACAGAGCAATTGACTCCCTAACTGCCTGCTAACTCCCTAAGTCCCTAACTGTTGGTCTCTTTCATGCTGTATACCAGCTGCTTTGAACAAAAGGAAAGCCAATCAAAACTCAGCCATCCAGACTACCTTATGCCAGCACCAGCAGTCTTGAAAACAAATCCTACACACAACAGTCACCTATGGTGCAGACACTTGTGATCCCCACACTTGGCAGTTGCAAGTAAAGGGTCAGAAGCAGAAGGTCATCCTTGACTGCAGAGTGAAAACCAGAAGAAATGTACATAGAAGAAATAGCAGGAGGTCAAAGCCATTCTCTGATACATGGCAGCTTCGAGGGCAGCTTGAGCTACAAGAGAAGGTCCCAAATCAAAAAGAAATAAATAAAAAGGGCTATGGAGATGGCCCAATAAGTAAAGGTGCTTGCTCTCAAGGCTTGATCCCAAGTTTGATCTTCAGTTTGGACACCAGGAACCCCACATGTTAGAAGGAAAGAATCTATAGACAGAATTTCTCTGTGTTGCCCTCCAAATAACCACACAGAGACTTTTTTTTTTCGAGACAGGGTTTCTCTGTGGCTTTGGAGGCTGTCCTGGAACTTGCTCTGTAGACCAGGCTGGCCTTGAACTCACAGAGATCCACCTGCCTCTGCCTCCCGAGTGCTGGGATTAAAGGCGTGCGCCACCAACACCCGGCCCACTTATTTTTTTTTTTTAAGATTTATTTATTATGTTTATAGTGTTCTGCCTGCATGTGTGTCTGCAGGTCAGAAGAGGGCACCAGATTTCATTACAGATAGCTGTGAGCCACCATATGGTCGATGGGAATTGAACTCAGGACCTGTGGAAGAGCAGCCAGTGATCTTAACCACTGAGCCATCTCTCCAACCCCCAATGGAAACTTCTTAAGTATAAATGCTCAGCCGGGCGTTGGTGGCGCACGCCTTTATTCCCAGCACTCGGGAGGCAGAGGCAGGCGGATCTCTGTGAGTTCGAGACCAGCCTGGACTACCAAGTGAGTTCCAGGACAGCCTCCAAAGCCACAGAGAAACCCTGTCTCGAAAAACCAAAAAAAAAAAAAAAGAATCTATTTACTCCTGAAAGTTGTGCTTTGACCCCCCCCCACTACCACCTCCCCCAACCAAACAAATCTTGAAATGTAGTAAAGCCTTAAATAAATAAATCTTAAGGACATTTAGATCCTTGATATCAGAAACTAATGTTAAGATTGATGCAGATCCTAGCCGGGCAGTGGTGACGCATGTCTTTAATCCCAGCACTCGGGAGGCAGAGACAGATGGATCTCTGTGAGGCCAGCCTGGTCTACAGAGTGAGTGACAGGAGAGGCTCAGAGAAACCCTGTCTGGGAAAAACAAACAAAATAAACAAACAAAAAAGATTGCTGTAGATCCTATGCGGGGTACAATAAAAAGTTGGTTATTTTTTTTGAGATAGGGTTTTGTGGCGATTAGAAAGAAAATGGTCCCCAAAGGGAGTGGCACTAGTAGGAGGTGTGGCCTTATTGAAAGAGTGGGCCGCTGTGGGGTTGGGCTTTGAGGTCTCTTTTGCTCAAGCTTCCATCAGGGTGACTGTCAGCTGGCTCCCTGTTGCCTTCAAGGTGTAGCACTCTGGACTCCAGCACTGTGTTCCCCACCGTGATGACAATGGACTGAACCTCTCAAACTGTAAGGCAGCCCCGGTTAAATGTTTTCTTTATAATAGTTGTGGTGGTCATGATGTCTCTTCACAGAAAAACAAACAAACAAACAAACATAACCCCAAGACAGGTTTCATATAACTGAAGGGCTGGCCTTGAACTTGCTATGTAGTTGAAGATGGCTTCGAGTTTCTGATCACCCCTCTTCCACCTCCCAAGTGCTGGAATTACAAGTGTATACCATCACATACAGTATATGATCTGCTAGGGATCCAACCCAGGCCTTTCTAAATTTCAGGAAAGCACTCCACCAACCCTTGAGAGCCTTTTGAGTATGTCTGTTTGCTGTTTAAGACAGTCTCGCTCTATAACTAAGGCTGAGATGGAACTTAATTAACATCACCATTATGTAATGGAGGCTGGCCTTGAACTATTGGCAATCGTTCTGCCTCAGCCTTCCTAATGCTGGGATTATTACAGGCATGTGCCACCATGTCCAAAAAATAATTTATTAGATTTATGCTTTCAGTACAGAACCAAAACTATCTGCTGACTAAAAACTGGAAGTTACAGGTTACTTTTTAAAGACAATTTGATTCAAGAGACAAATATAAGAAAAAAACTTGCTTCTAGCAGCGCTTCTCATTTTTATGATTATAACACAGTGGGCTCAGAGGCAGCGATGTTTGCTGCAAAGCCTGCTGAAACCTTTTGTCAGCCTAGTCCCTGGATTCACGGGCTTGGAATCAGTAAAAACCACATCTCCCAGAATTCCCAGACCGGGGGCGGGCCCAACGGTGAGGGGGGTGGAGCCTGGGCGTTCCCCGCGAGGTTTTGAGAGTGAGGTGGCGGGAGCGGCGGCCATGGCGGCGCCGGAGGAGAGAGAATTGCAGGTGACGTCCGTAGCCGGGTCGGGAACCCGCCTGACCCTGCTGGGGCCGCGCCTCGGCCGGGCTCCGCGCTCGCCGCCACTGATGTTTTTGTCCCAACCCCACGGTGCCATCGCGACCCCTTGTGGGCCCGGAGGCCCCCGGGGAGGTCATGCCCTCCCTTTCCCGGTGACCCAGGCGCTGTATGGAGCCTCTGGCTTCAGGCTGGAGTGGGATTCCGAGGGCAAACCCGCCTTGCAGCCCAACCTGTGCTGCTTCAGTCTAGAATGTAAACACTGAGCTGCAGTTTACTCCGGGACCCGCCTGGCACTGCGAGGGGTTCGGGTGTGGTGGGGGCCCCTCGCCTTTCAGGCCGTGCACGGATCATCAGTCTGTCGTGCTTTCAAATTCGCTTATTAAGATCTTCCAAGTGAGGCAATTTTATGTTGTTGTTGCTGTTTTCGCCTGTGCTGCGTTTGGTTTGCAGCGTCGGGGAAGAATGATGTTCTTTGCTAATTTCGACTTTTTCACTTGTTGACGAGTCAGACCGTGAAGTAGGACCCCAGAACAGTCACTGCAAAGGTTTAGCGTGCCAGGGAGCACTTCTTTGTCAGATTCTGTTGTGCCCTTATAACAAGGCTTGCATTTTTAATGGTTAGGTTGCTGCGTGGTTGAAAAAAATATTTGGAGACCATCCCGTTCCAAAATACGAGGCGAACCCACGGACGACAGAAATTTTATATCACCTTTCAGAACGCAACAGGGTTCGGGACAGGGACATCAACCTGGTAATAGAGGACTTAAAACAGAAAGCAAATGAATATGAATCAGAAGGTGAGTTAAGTCTAGAGTTGGAAGAGGTAGCAAGGTAACTAAATTTTACAACACTACAGTGTCTAAGATTAAGGTAGAGGACTTGTATTGATTATCATCGTCATTATTTTAGACAATTGACTTCTCTATTATAGTAACATCCAAATTAGAAATTTCACTACAGTGTTTTATTGGTTCTCTGCTGGTTAAAACAGTGAGTGTTGAAAGAGAATTAAATTTGCTGGGGTGGGGGTTGATGGAGGAATGCCTTTAATCCCAGCTCTTTATAGAGTCAGAGGCTGGAGGATATGTGTGAGTTCAAGGTCCGCCTGGGCTGCATAGTAAGTTCCCATCTCAAAAAAACAAAACAAAAGCTTATTAGAAAGGTAGCAGACAAGAAGTGTGAGACCTGGATAAACCACCATGGGCTGTGTGTATCAGGGAACTGCTTTAAAATTTCCTACTGAGCCAGGCATGATGATGCAAACTTGTGATCCCAGCATTCAGAAGGCAGAAGCAGGAGGGTTGTCATGACTGCACTGTCAGCTTGGATCACATAGCAAGACTCTAAAACAAGTTTTTTCCCTCTTTTTTGTTGGTCATACCTATAGTGTGAAAAATGTGAAGAGGGAGAGCAGGGAATGAGAAAGTCTTTCTGGGATATGCCTTCCTTCCGGGATACTCCTCCCACTCTGGGGCTTTCATACTGTTTCTTAATAACTTTATGCTCACTCTGCTTAAACAAAATTACGAAAAAAACAAACAAAAACAACTTTTGAGGATGACAGTACACCAAATAGAGGAACTGAGATCTGTTTGACATACTCTTAACCAAGTGGAGGGTGTTTGTTATACACAATTTTAAAAACTTTTTTTAGATTGTTTTATGTGTATGAGTGTTTTGTCTGCATGGATTTATGTGTACCCTGTGCATGTCTGGTGTTTGTAGAGGTCTAAAGTGGATGTTTGGTCCCCAGGAACTGGAGTTAAGTGTGATCGTGAGTCACAATGTGGGTCCTGGGAACTGGTCCTGGGTCCTCTGCAAGGGCAAGTGCTCTAGTTGAGCAATCTTAGAACTTGGGAGGTGGAGGCAGATGGATCTCTATGAGTTCAAACCCAGCCTGGCCTAGATAGAGAGTTCCAACATAGAGAGACCCTTTCTCAAAACAAAAACCAACAACAACAAAAAACTGAACATTTCTCCAGATTCTTTATGATATTGTGGATATAGTTCAATTACATTTAATTCTAATGCATATATACTTTTTCTAATAGTCTTTTAAAATTAACACAAGTGTGTTTTGTGTGCCATCTTAATGGTGTAGAATACTTCCACAATGGTGAACAGAGCAATTCCATCACCACAAATAAACTCCCTTGTTTACTCCTTTTATTTGAATTCTCATACACATGGTCTTTTTTTTTTTGTTTTGTTTTTTGTTTTTTGTTTTTGGAGACAGGGTTTCTCTGTATTGTTTTGTTTTGGAGGCTGTCCTGGAACTCTTCTGTAGATCAGGCTGGCCTCGAACTCACAGAGATCCGCCTGCCTCTGCCTTCCGAGTGCTGGGATTAAAGCCGTGAGCCACCAACACCCGGCTACATATGGTCTTTTAAAATTGGATGGTTGGGTTTTTTTTTAAAGTACATTTCTAGAAACTTTCTTTTATAATTCTATTTATTTTTAGTTTTTTTGTTGTTGTTTTGTTTTTTGAGACAGGGTTTCTCTGTGTAACAGTCCTGACTGTCCTGGAACTCGGTTTGTATATCAGGCTGGCCTCCAACTCACAGAGACCCATCTACCACTGACTGCCAAGTGCTGGGATTAAAGGCATGGGCCACTGCCATTTAACTAAATTACTCTTATGGATATAGTGGCATGCATTTTTAGTCCTAACATTCAGGAGATAGGAACAAGCAGGTAGATCTCTGAGTTCAAGACCAACATGGTCTACATAGTGAATTCCAGGTTTATACAGTGAGATCCTGTTTTTGTTTGTTTGTTTTATTTTTCTTTCTAAATTCTATTTACTGCTTTTTAAGGGTTTTTTTTTTTTTTTTTGGTGGGGGGTTGTGTTGTGTTTTGGTTTTTTGAGACAGGGTTTCTCTGTGGCTTTGGAGCCTATCCTGGAACTCGTTCTGTAGATCAGGCTGGTTTCGAACTCACAGAGATGCCCCTGCCTCTGCCTCCTGAGTGCTGGGATTAAAGGCATGTGCTACCACCGCCCGGCCTATTTACTGCTTTTGAGGGGTGGGTACATGAGCTTGTGGAAGTCAGAGGGCAACTTACGGGAATCAGTCAGTTCTGTGTTCCACCATGTGGGTTCTGGGGATTGAACAAGTTGGTTCCCAACACCTCATTGGATGCTTCACAACTCCCAATATCTCTGGCCTCCATGAGCACCTGTGCTCTGTTGCACCTGCTGAGCAGCCTGCATCCGAGAATGTTGCGAGGTGGTCGGGATAGATGACACAGAGACCAGTCGGTTGCGTTAAGAAAACTTTATGCTCCCCAAGTCGGCTTAGGAGAACCCCCCAAGAAAAAAACGCTTCCCTTTTTAAGGACTTCTGCCATCCATCTACATACTATTCTCCAACCAAGCTCTCACACATCTCTCACAGCTCTCCCAGACTTCTCACCCTCCTGGCTGGTCGTTAAATCTCCGGCACCAGAATCTGGGAGAAACAGCAGGGAGCAGGAAGAAGCATCTAGCCATAGGGGGGATCAAAGTCATGGTGTTTCAGTGAGGGAGCCCTTCCAAGAGCTTTATGGTATTGAATTGTTTTCAGTAAACATGTTTTCAGTAAACATTGTCTTACAGCTGCCTACTCCCAGGCCGAAGGGGAAGTGGGTCTCTGCTCAAGGTCTGGTGTCCCCACAGTGCTCAAAGTGCACAGACACACAAACACATAATTACAAATAAAATAGTAGTTACTACTATTTTTGAGGCAGGGTTGTTTTTTTGGTTGATTCTGGGTGTTCCTGCCTCTTGAGTGTTGGGATTAAAGGCTTTCACCACCATGCATGCCTAGCTCAAATAAATCTTAAACAAACAAAAAACTATAATAAAAGTTTAAAAAACAAAAAGGACAAAACATCTGAGACAACCATGACATTCTTTTATCATTTCAGCCAAACATCTTCAAGACTTTCTCATGGAGAGTGTGAATTTTTCCCCTGCCAACCTGTCTAATACTGGCTCCAGGTTTCTGAATGCGTTGGTGGACAGTGCAATTGCCCTGGAAACAAAGGACACTTCACTAGCAAGGTAATTATTCTAATGGTTTTAGTCTGTGCCCCCACAGAATGTGCTGTAAAACCCCATCTAAGATTTTTTAGTAATTATGCATAGAAAATTAGCAATCCGTGCAAAAGTGCTGAGGTGGTTGTTTTGTTTGTTTGGTAGGTTGGTTGATTGGTTGGGTGGGTTTGTTGTTGGTGTGTGTGTGTGTGTGTGTGTGTGTGTGTGTGTGTGTCTGCTGAGTTCTTGTTAGCTCAGCAGTACCATGGGTGGGTGGCGCTGGGCTGTATAAGAAGGCTCCATTGGCTGGGCGTTGGTGGTACACACCTTTAATCCCAGCACTCAGGAGGCAGAGGCAGGTGGATCGCTGTGAGTTCGAAGCCAGCCTGATCTACAAAGCGAGTTCCAGGACAGCCTCCAAAACAATACAGAGAAAGCCTGTCTCGAAAAACCAAAAAAAAAAAAAAAAAAGGCTCCATTGTTTTTGTTTGAGTTCCTGCCCTGAGACCTGTCTGAGTATTGTGCTGTACCTGTAAGTGTAAGTGTAAGCTAAAATAAACCCTTTTCTATGTTGCTTGTGGTGGTGGTGCTCACCACAGCACTGGAAAGCACATTAGAATTGTTGGCGACTAGGTATGTGTGCACACACCTATAATAAGTACAGCACCCAGGAGGTGGCAGCAAGAAGATCAGAAAGTCAAGGTCATCGTTAGCTACTTAGGGAGTTTGAGGTCAGCTTTTGCTATATGAGACCCCTCCACCACCGAACAGACAGAGGAACAGTAAAGTAGTAGGTTAAATGATCTGGTTGAGCATGGCAAATTTGGTCATATACACATTGAATAAGTTAAGGACCTTTTTTTTTCCTTTTGAGACAGGATTTCACTGTAGCCCTGGCTGTCCTGGAACTCACCCTGTAGATGGAGCTCTCGGCCTTAAACTCACAGAGATCTGCCTGCCTCTGCCTCCTGAGTGCTGGGATTAAAGGCCTGCATCATCACCATCTTGCTAAGGACCCTCATTGTTTGAAATAGACATTTAATCTATATAATAATGTAATCTTCCACCAGTCCTCAGGAAACTGAAGAGTCAGGATTCTAAGCAAATCTGACTCCAAAGGTCATATGACTACTGTTGGTGGTCATTTGTTAGCTGGTACTACTACTGCAACTTACCATGATGAGAAAAAACTGCCAGTGTAAAGGTTTGGGATTTATGTAATGCTTGAAGAGTAGTGTTGTAAGTGTAACAACATTAGACTACATGGCAACAGCGGTGCAGACCAATCATTTCCTCCGATACCAAGTACAATTGTACAGATGTAACACTAGGAAAGCAGAGGTGAATAGTGAGCTAGACATGACCTTCAAAGACAGTTTCTTAGTCAAATGAGAGAGGAGGACAGTAGAGAGCATTCTACCATCCCATAACATCTGCACTCTAAGACTAAAGATGCTATCCCTGGCAAGCACAGACAAAAGGTAGTGAATTCAGGATGGCTAAATCTTACCCAAGAGGTGTTTTGTTGTTGTTTTTTCCCTTAGGGTTTTTGTTTGTTTGTTTTGTTTTTATTTTGTTAAAATAGGGTCTCATTATGTATCCCTGGTTAGCCTGGAATTCACTGCTCACTCTGGACCAGGGTGTCCTTGAACTCTCAGAGATCTGCCTGCCTTTGCCCTCAGTCCTGGGAACAAAAGGTGTGCACTACCACACTCAGCCTGAGTTCTGTAGGGAAAATGGGACTTTGAACTGCTGAAGGGCACTTTAGGCAAAGGGACCAGCATGTGGCAGTTGTGTAAGTGGATGGAGCAGTGTGATGACATAGACTCTGGAGAGAAGACCATCTTAGCAGCGCTTATCCTCAGCTGTGTAACCAAGCCCCTCTTTCAGTTTTATCCCTGCAGTGAATGATTTGACTTCTGACCTTTTTCGTACCAAATCCAAGAGTGAAGAAATCAAGCTGGAGTTGGAAAAACTTGAAAAAAATCTGACTGCAACATTAGTGTTAGAAAAATGTCTACGAGAGTGAGTAGAAATGTTGACATTTTGAATTATAAAGACACTAGTAGGACATTGTCAAGCTGGGCACAATGGCACAGGACTGTAACCCTAGCTACTGGAAGGCTGAGGCAGGAGCCACATAAGTCTAAGGCTGCTTGAGCAGCTCAGGAGGGGCTTAGGTGCAGATTTTCATATTTTGCTTTATTAAAAATGTGTAGTTTTATAATTTTCAATTATTTTTATTTTCTTAAAGGTTTATTTACTATGCATAGTGTTCTGTCTGCATATATTTCTGCCTGCCAGAAGAGGGCACCAGATTTCATGACAGATGGTTGTGAGCCACCGTGTGGTTGCTGGGAATTGAACTCAGAACCTCTGGAAGAGCAGCCAGTGCCCTTAACCTCTGAGCCACCTCTCCAGTCCCAAGCATCATTTCTTTGAACAAATGTCTCAGTGATTCCAAGGTGTAGCCATATTTTCTGTTTTTCATTAGATTTTTATGTCTTCTGAATCCCTCTTCAGTGCTAGGAATCAAATACAGGGTTTTGCCTAAGGTGGTAATACACTCATTTAATGCCAGACTGGCAGGCACATTTCTATGAGTCCAGGGTCAGCCTGGTCTCCATGGCAAATTCAAGGCCAGCCAGGGCTATATAGGGAGACCATGCAGGTGTTATGATAAAGCAGGGAACCTTGGCAGATTCCATGGCAGGCGAGGGTGACGGAGGTAGAGGGACAAACATGCCAGGCAGACAGAACTTCAGTGAGAAGTTTTATTAGAAAGGGAAGAGGGGGAAGGAAAGAGAAAAGAAGTAAAGAGACAGAGAGGACAGAAGAGGAAGACGGGGAAAAGTCCTGTCTGCCCCAGGGGAACAGGGGGAAGGGGGGGGGCAGTGGAAAAGAGAGGAGGAGGCAAAGAGCTAATTTTCAAATTTATAAACTCCCAAACTATCTCATAAATTAAAGTCACATATTTTGGTATGCTTTTTTTCCTGTGGCTCTAATGTCCCTCTTTGATGCTGTGAGTCTTTAGATTCTGATTGCATTAGATGTTAGAGCTGGTGGTTAGCATTTATGTAAAAGCAGGGTAATTTGGTAACATACAAATAACTTCAATAAATAAAGAAAACGTATGTGTTAGGCACTGTGTCATGTCACATATAATAGAGAGGTCTTTGGGATCCTGTATTTCAAATTGGCTTAGGATATATTAAACCACTTTTTTTGAATAGCAGGCTTATTTTGTCCAAGAATAATTGCTATAGGTTAATGTTAATGTTTTTATATTCCTTGAGAAAAGTCCTACATTGGCAACATGGAGGGGCAAATGCTCTAAAGCCTGCATTGCAGTCTGGGATGGAAAACTTGTGGTGGAATAGCTGGCAAGTAGGTTATCTATGTTGGCTAAGCCAGAGTTAAATTCCTAAAGAGGGAGTTGGTTTTCTTGTTTTTTAAACAATCCTTTCCTGGGAGAAAAACAAAGCTTTAATTTTACTTTTGGAAGAGATCTCAAGAAGGCAGAGCTGCATCTGTCTGCGGAAAGGGCCAAAGCTGACAGTCGTCTTCAGAACATGGACTTCCTGAAAGCAAAGGCAGCGGAGTTCAGGTTTGGAATCAAAGCTGCAGAGGTGTGTATGAAGAACTGTTTCTAGCTAGCCTTTCAGACATTTGTTCTCACAGTAGGAAGCAGTGCCAGTCCTTTCTGCAGAAGCTGGAAGAACAGGGAAGAGCTGTGACTTGGCCAGGGTTATGTAACTACTGAGCACCTGTCTTCTCACCACATCTGAGTGGAGGAAGGATCCTCAAGGAACATAAACTAGCTTAGACGCATGTGTGCTTTCTGACTTGTGATCTGTAGCGTTCTTTATTGTGTGTTGAAACATTTTCATGATAGTTTCTCTTTTTTAAAAAATTTATTTATTGTGTATACAGTGCCCTACCTGCATGTATGCCTGCACACTAGAACTGGGCACCAGATCTCATTACAGATGGTTGTGAGCCACCATGTGGTTGCTGGGAATTGATTCAGGACCTCTGGAAGAACAGCCAGTGCTCTTAACCTCTGAGCCATCTCTCTAGCCAGATGGTTACATTCAAATTAACTTTTCAACCAAACTCTTTCCTCATATTGTAGGAACAGCTTTCTGCTAGAGGCATGGATGCATCTCTGTCCCATCGGTCACTAGTGGCACTTTCAGAGGTAAGCTACCTGTCTTAGTCTGTCCTTTGCTGCTGTCACAGAATACCACAGACTGGATCACTTAGGAACAGTCAGAATAGAAGTTTATTTTGTTCATGATTCTGAAGGCTAAAAAGTCTAAGATCCAAAGGCCACATCTGCTAAAGGCCCTGTACCGTGTTCTCAGGTGCATAGCAGAAAATGCAGGTCCCAGCGTGAGGGAGATGGCTCAGTGGCTGGGAAAGTGCTTACTTGAGTTTGGATCCCCAGCACCCATGTAAAATCTGGGTGTGGCTGCACATGTCTCTAAAGCCAGCACTGGGGAGTTAGAGGGTAATGACTGGCAATACCTATGTTATCAGTCCCTTTTTGTAGATGAGCGAACTAGAGATCCGTAACTTGCCCAAGTTTACATAACTACTGAACAGCAGTTCCAGGTTCAAGTCAGGCATTGAAACCCTTATACTTGGCACCCATCCTCTCATCACTTGTGAGTGTAGGTAAGGGTTCACAGGTAACATAATGAGCTTGATTACTCCTGGACCAAGTAGTCCAGCCTATCAGGGAGCTCCACATTTTGTGAAGGACACTGTCTCAAAATCGTGTGTAATGACTGAGGAAGACACCCAACATCAACCTTTAGCCTCCATATCCTGCAAGCAACTTGGAGGAGCTTGGTCCTCACCTTGGTCCCGGGATCCAACTTGGTTCATCAGGGGCTGGAGAGATACTCAGTGGCTAAGAGCACTGGCTACTCTTTAGAGAGCTCAGATTCAATTCCAGCATCCACGTGGTGGCTCATAACTGTCTGTAGCTCCAGTTGCAGGGACCTAACACCTTCCTCTATCAGCACCAGACATACATATGGCTCACAGTCATATATGCAGGCATAACACTCCTACACATAAAATTAATGTGAAAAACAAAATGGACTGGAGGGAAGGCTCAGTGGTTAAGACACTTGTGCTCTTGCTGAGGACCCAGTTTGTCTCCCAGCGCCCAAACAGTGACTCAAAACCATCAGTGACCCAGTTCCAGGGGATTCAGTGCCTTATTCTGACTTCAAAAGGCACATAGAAAAAGGTATAAAACAAACAAAAACCTTATACCGTAAAATAAAATACAATTAAAACAAAAATAGAAAAACCTTAGTTCACCAGGCTTGACTGCAAGTGTCTTTACCCCTGAATCATATTGCTAGCCTCTAGAGTCCCATACTAAGTCAGTAGGAATATAATTTACTTTTAAACATTTTGGGAAAGTATTGTTTCTGTTAGAAATAAGGTGATCTATTTGAAGTTCTTTGCTTCTTTATTTAATATTTCTGTGGATTGGACAATGTAGCTCAGTGGTAGATTGCTTGCCAACCTTCATGAAGCCATGAATGAATACTAAATAGTAATGCTTTATTGCATTTTGTTTTAGAAATGAGCACTGTTTAGTTGTTTTGTGGATATTTCTGTTGCTGTATAACTCTCTATTCATTTCCAGAAACTCTCGGAACTAAAACAACAGACTATACCCCTGAAGAAAAAACTGGAGTCCTATTTAGATTTAATGCCGGTAACTGTTATTACGGGTTTTCTAACCTTCCTCTAAAGACACTAAGTGGTCAGAGCATAGTGGGTTTGTGTTTCAATGATTTAAAATCAGTGGCAGAACTGAGAGTTGTGACTCACACTTTTAATCTGAACACTTGGGAGGCTGAGGCAGAAGGATCACTATGAGTTCTAACAGCTTAGGTTACAGTGGTCCACATCTCTAATCACAGCACTTGGGAGGTTGAGGATCTTGAATTCAAGGCCAGTTTGGGCTCTGTCTTGTTGCATCTATTTATTTATTTGTTTAGGATGCAAGTGCCACAGTGCACATAGAAGCCAGAGTTGGTTCTCTTAAACTAAGGGTTCCACTCAAGTCACCAGGTTTGGCAGAAACGGCCATTGCTTAGTGAGCCATCTTTCCCACCAAGATCCTGTCTTAATACCCCCTCCCCAAATGGCTATTGGTAAATTTCAGTATGGTATGTGGGCTGGGTGCTCCCTCCCTCAGATTTTCCTTGCCTATTGAAGGGATTGTATTGTGGAGTAGCTTTCTTCTGAGTGAAGTGTTTTCTGTGTTTGTTTGTATCACTATGACCAAACTATGATGCTGTGTATCACTATGTTACCTCACAGAAACAACTTAAGTGAGCAAAGATTCAGTCATCTCACATTTTCATAGTATCACCCATAGTGGTTGGAAAGGCAGGTGGACAGGTCAGTACAGCAATCCAGAAACCAAGAACCAGGCTTGTCCTGGCTAGTTTCGTGTCAACTTCACAAGCTAGCGTAGTCTGGACGAAGGGAACCTCAGCTGAGAAAATGCCTTCATATAAGATACGGCTGAAGGCATTTTCTTAATTAGTGATTGTGGGTGGGACAGCCCTAGGCAGGTGGTCATGGGTTCTATAATAATTCAGGCTGAGCTGAGTAGAGGTGAGACCTACCTTTAATCGCAGCACTTGGGAGGGAGGGGTAGGGGGAAATCACTGTGAATTTAAGGCCAGCCTGGTGTACAAAGCAAGTTTCAGGACAGTCAAGACTGTTACGTGGAGAAACCCTGTCTCGAAAAACCAAAGAAAGAAAAGAAAAAAAAAAAAAAAAGAAAGAAAGAAAAAAGAAAGCAGGCTGAGCAAGTCATGGAAAGCAAGCCAGTAAGCAGCACCTGTTCATGGCCTCTGCTTCTGCTCCTGCCTCCAGGCTCCTGCCCTGTTTAAGTGCCTGTCCTGACTTCCTCCAGTGATGAACAGCAATATGGAAGCATAAGCCAAGTAAACCCTTTCCTCCCCAAGATGCTTTTTGGTCCTGGTGTTTCATCACAGCAATAGAAACCCAAGCTCAAACAAGGCTATAACCTCAAAACCCTCACCCACAGTGACCTCTTCCTCCTGAAGGTTCTGAGCTTCCCAAAACAGTACCAACAGCATTCAAACAGAGCCTGTGTGAAGCTCTTCATTTAACCATGACACTTTTCCTGCTTTGTTTTTCTTTTTAAGAATCCCTCTCTTGCTCAAGTGAAAATTGAAGAGGCAAAGAGAGAATTAGTAAGTAGTTCCCATCTTTCTTCCTTCATTTTCCCTTTTTAATTAGTAGTTATTTAGTTGAGATAATAAGATTTCTAAGCTGTGTCGAGCTATGAGGTCCAGCTGCTTGCGAGTATGCAGCCCAAGACAGGGTTTGTGGTAGAAATTGTAAAGTGCCTTACATACAGAGTTGATCTTAGAAGCTGCCAGAGACCTGAAGCGTTAATTCTAGTTAATCTTAACACTAAAAACCAGGAGTCAGATATTGGGGGAAACCCTGAAAGATCAGAGAACTGGGAGCAGCCGCCTGTTGTTTCCTTCCTCTCTGGTTCCTCAGTCTGAAAAGCTCAGATCCTGTCTGCTCCACCTTACCACTTCCTGTCCCCACCTCCTGAGTGCTGGAACTAAAGCTGTGGGCTACCACTGTCCAGCCTCTGTGGCTAACTAGTGGATAGCTCTGCCCTCTGATCGCCAGGCAAGCTTTATGTGTCAGAACACAAACAAAATATTACCACAAGAAGACTGGTGACAATTGCTGAGCTCCTTGTTTTTATTTATTTATTTATTTATTTATTTATTTATTTATTTATTTATTTATTTTTCTGCCTTTTTTTAAGTCAAAAAAGTAACGAAAGCTGTGCTTTTTGATGAGGCCAGTGCTTTGGGAAGATAGTTCTGTAATCAGCGTATGAGGCAGGCTGAATGGGAGAAGAAAGTCACAGGGAGCAGTTGGTTTATTTAGGTGAGAAGTGATGAAGAATGAAGTCAGAAAGCAATGAGAAGAAAGCGAGATTGTGAGATTGTGTGTGCAACATTGTGGAGCACAGACTTAAAAAAATCTACCATGTGGGCTGGGCGGTGGTGGCGCACACCTTTACTCCCAGCAGGAGGCAGAGGCAGGCAGATCTCTGTGAGTTTGAGGCCAGGCTGGACCTACAGCCTCCAAAAATAATACAGAGAAACCCTGACTCGTAAAACCAAAAAAAAAAAAAAAAAAAAATCTACCATGTGCCACCACATCTTTTTAAAGGCATCTTCCCTTCTGGTGTTTGTTAGTCATTTAGGAGGTCAAGCACTTGTGTGTGTGGGGGTCTGGGGCAGGCAGCTGGAGGGGAGAGGGTGGGTTGATATAAAAGCAAGTGAATATTAAAGGCACATTTGACATTCTTAATGGCATGTTTAAAAATTTTAATACTCAGAAGGCCAAGGCAGGAGGATTACTTCAAGTTTGACACTAGCTAAAGTTCCACAGCAAGACTCTGAAAACTACACATTAACACATGCACGCTCAAGGGCTGGCAAGGTAGGTCAACTGTAGAAGGCCTGACTAGTAAACCATGCACACAACACACAATGGTAGTGGAGGACTTGACTAGCATACAGAAGTTCCTCACTTTGGTCCCAAATAAAGTTTGTTTTAATGTTTTCCTTTTCTACCTTATTTTAGATATCAGAAGTTGATGACATCTCTCTCATGTCTTCATTTATGGTTTATTTCCTTTCTCCAGGATGCTATTGAAGCTGAACTCACAAGGAAAGTAGACATGATGGAACTGTGACTAGAGCCCAGTAGACGTCCTTCTCCCAAGAAGTCAATGACTATTCTTAGAGGAGATAATAATAGCCTTCATCATAAAATAACAGTTTTTGGTCATGTATTAAAATTTTTTTGGCCTAAGTACAGTTTTCATATGAAAAAGCATTTTGTGTTACCTGTTATTTGTGCACCTGGCAGTTAAGAATCTCAAAACTCGGTGAGGGACTGGAGAGATGACTCCACAGTTTCGGCCCTTTATTGCTCTTGCCGAGGACTTGGGTTTGATTCTCAGCATCCATATGGTGGCTCAAGACCATTGGATCTGACATCTTCTGGCGTCTGTAGGCATCAGGCACACATGGCACACAGACATACATGCAGGTAAAATACTCTTACACATTAAAAAAGGAAGTCCTTCAGCAATCCCTTAAGATGACCTTCATGACAGTTCTCACCAGCTACATCAGTGGACAGTTCTCACAGACTAGCTTTGTAGTTCCTATTTCTCTGCTTCCTTCCTTCTCTGGAACTTTGCCTCCCTGTTCCTCAGCAACTCACACTGGCCTGTCTCCAAATGTCAATATGTTTCGTTTATGAAAAAAATTAGACCTTTAAGCCAGTTGTAGAAAGAGGAATAATATGGTGGTAAATTCATATTTCATGCCCTCTATTAGGATAATCCAAAGGATCAAAGACCAGTATAAAAATTTAAAAATAAAGATCCTGGACTGTAGTTGACTCCATGTATGCTTGCATAGCGTACATGGAGCTCTGTTGAGTCTCCAGCCCAGCGTGGTTGCATGTCTTGCTTGTTTTTGTCAACTTGACGCAAGCTGGAGTCATTCCTTCATCAGATTAGCCTGTATGCAAGTTTATAGGACATTTTGGTCATTAATGATTGATATGAGAGGACTCTGCCCATTTTTGCTCATGTCACCTCTGGCCACGTGGTGCTGGGTTGTATAAAAATGCAGTTGAGCATGCTAGTCAGCATTTCTCTGTGCTTCAGCTCCTACCTCCAAGTTCCTGCTTCGTTCCTGCCGACTTCTCTCGGTGCTGGACTGGAAGCTTTATTAGATGTATGAGGTAGGCCTTCTTAGAGTTTCTAGCACCAGTTGAGCCACAGGCAGACTGCAGAGTTCAAGCATACTGGCCCATGCCAGAGCTGACCTGATGCAGGGTGTTAAGCACATTTATAGCACTCCACATGACTGGTGCATGATTGAGTACCTGGAAGAAGATGTATAATGCTATCAAGGGCTTGCCCTGCCATCCACTCTTTAACTCAAGCAGAATCTCTGTCTATCCTAACTGTAAAGAAAAAAGAATCTACACTGTATTTACTCAGTCATCTCCAAATCTGAACAAAATTCCACACAAGATATACACAGAGAAATAACACATAAAAAGAAAAGGCCACAGGGAGAAAAATTCAGAGTATCTAGGTTAACGGATAGTTGATTTTTAAATTCAGTATGTAGCTGGGGCCACACATTCCAAGTCTTCCCAAACTTGGGGGCCAAGTATTCAAATGTGTTCTGGAATATTATTTTAAGTTGTGTTACATTTGTTTATGCTATGGAATATTTGTTTAATGATGCAAAGATGTGTCTCATTCTTTTTTATGTTGCATTTATCTAACTCTGAAGCTGTATTTGCCTGTCTAAAACACCTGATTGGTCTAATTAAGAGCTGAATGGCCAATACCAAGGCAGGAGAAAGGAGAGGTGGGGCTGGCAGGCAGAGAGAATAAATACGAGGAGAAATCTGGGAGGAGATTGAGGAGGATTAAGAGAAGGGGGAGGAGGACACCGTGTGACCAGCCACACAGCAAGCCATGGAGTAAGAAGTAAAGATGTACAGAAATAGAGAAAGGTAAAAGCCCAGAGGCAAAAGGTAAGCAGGCTATTTAAGTTAAGAGAAGTTGGCTAGAAACAAGCTAAGACTGGGCATTTGTAGGTAAGAATAAGTCTCTGTATGTTATTTGGGAATTGGTGTCAGGCACCCCAAAGAGTAAAGAGCCAAAAAGAGTAAAACAAAACAAAACAAAACAAAAAAAACCTAAAATAACAAAAAACAAACCAGCAACACATGAGCCTATGGGAGTCATTGTCATTCAAGCCACCATAGTCCACTTCCTGACTGCCACAGGCTAGTTGCATACCATAATGCAAAATGCATTTAGTCCAACTTCCAGTCTCCAGTCTGTCACAGTCTTAACAGTTTAATAGTCCAAATCTTTTCTGAATCTCAAAGCAATCTCTTAATTGCAACCCCCTATAAAATCAAAAGGTAAACTACATACTTATGTAGTGCTATTCCAAAAGGGAGGAATTAGAACATAATGAAGAAAGACCAAAACCCAGTAGTGCCAACTCCAAATCCTGTCTGATGTCAAAGCGCTTACTTAGATGGCTACACACTTCCAGCTTACTGCCTGTAAGACACCTGTCTCTCAGGCTGGTTCCACTCCCTGTATGTAGTTCTCCTTGGCAGATATCCCATGACTGGCTGATCTAACATCTTGGGGTCTTTGAATGCAGTACAGACTTCACTTTCACAACTTCACTCACTGACCTCTCAGGGCCTCCATGCTGGAATTCCACTACATACCTGGCCTCAGTGACTCTCCTAATGTGAAAATTCCACAACCCTTTTGCTCATGTATCTCTCATGGCTCTAAAACCAGGACCACGTGGATAATGCCACCACATTTGGCCTCTCACCTGGAATTGGAGCCTGGCTCCCTTGAATAATATCTGCAGAAGTTTTTCTTAGTATTTGCTCTTCAGAGGGACAAAATTTCTTGGGCTTTTTGATTTCACAAATTGTTGGAGTATCTGGGTGGCGTCTTGCCCTGAGGGCTCCTCTCCCTTTTCTAACAATGCATGTCAAGCCTCACCTTGATTTCCTTGTTTTTTTTAAGCATACACCTTGACTCTAAAACGAAATTTCCAGGTGCTCTTTTCTCCTCAAATTTTACATTTTGTATTTCTTTTCGCCCTGCTTGCTCTTTTTCATGGTAGACCTACAAAGATGTGATTACTAATAACTATGCAACAGAGCCAACATTAATTAGACTGTCTTGAAATCCCATTCACCAAAGACATTACTCCATTACTTTTCAATTTTGCCTCAGGCAAATTCTTAGGAGGGGGTCAGAAAGCAGCCACGTCTTTTGCCAAAGTATCACAAGAATGGTCCCAAGCCTCCTTGCCAATGTTGTTCCCCTCTGATGCCTCTTGAGCTGTGCCTCTACCTTCTACACATCTCTCAGCACTACCTTCTTCCATGCTCCTACTAGAGGAGCCCAGTAATCTCTGACTATAGCATTCAACTGCTTTCCTAGTATAACATCTCAAGGTCTTCTACATTGCTCTAAAAAGAAAAGCCAGCATGGTTAAGCCTATCACAACAATACCCCATTCCTAGTACCAACTTCTGTATTTGTTTCTTTTCTATGGCTATGAAGAGACAATAACCAAGGCAGCTTATACAAGAAAATGTTTAATTAGAGCTACAGTTCCAGAGGTCTAGAATCCATGATAATGGAGCAAAAGCAAAGCAGCAGGAATAGTGGAGAGCTCACATCTTGATTAACGACAACAACAAAAAACAGCTAACTGGTAATGGCATGAGTGTTGAAACCTCGAAGCCCACTCCCAGTGACACACCTTCTCCAATAAGGCTATACCTCTTAATCCTTCTCAAAGTAGTTACTACAACTTGGGAGCAAACATTCTAACATTCATTCTCATTCAAACCACCACAGCTGGGGAGATGGCTCAGTGTCTAAAGGAAGGCACTTGCTGGGCCGGCGTTAGTGGTGCACGCACTCGGGAGGCAGAGGCAGGTGGATCTATGTGAGTTCAAGGCCAGCCTAGTCTACAGAGCTGATTCCAGGACAGCCTCCAAAACAATACAGAGAAACCCTGTCTCGAAAAACCAAAAATAAAAAATAAAAAATAAAAAAATAAAGGAAGGCACTTGCTGCCAAGCATGACAACATGAATTCAGTTCTGGGAACCCACATGGAGGAAGGAGGGAACCAACTCCCCCAAGCAGTCCCCTGACTTTTCATATGCATATTGTGGTGTGTGTATTCCCACACACAAATAATGTTTTTAAAAGTAAACAAAGGGTACGAAGCACTGTTCTCTGCTGTGAACTCAGTTGTATGCACAGGGGAGCTGGTGTGAGGGGCAGCCTCTGTTTTTTTTCTGTCTGACCCTGACTACATGTATGACTGCTTCCCTCCTGATACTTCTATATTTATCCGCTAAGAACAGAAACATTTGTAGTTAAGCACAGTAAAATGATACAATTTAGGAAATTTAAATGAAATACTATTAGATGAAATACAATTTAGATGAAATACTATTGCAGTATGATTCATACTCAGATTTCTTCAATTACCTTAATAGTGCACAGTATAGACTAATAGCCCAACTCAGGAACATATATTATGTACAGTCCCATTTGTCTTTGCTTTCTGTTTTTTGGGACAGGGTCTTAGGTAGACCTGACTGGCCTCAAACCCAGAATGTAGCCAGAGATGAGCTTGAGTTGTTGATACTTCTGCTCTACTTGCCCCTGGACGCTGGCTGGTGGGTAAGAGGTACCGCATGAACGAAAAGACATTGCTGTGAAGATGCGGCTGCTACTATTTTAAGGGTGGAATGATGTGTTAGATGTCCTTGGTTGCCAGGGAAACTTTTCCTTGTGGATTATCATAGAAGCACGTGAGAGGTGGCTTACCCTAGACTGGCTATGGCCCTGTGCCTGGACTGCTGAGGTTTCAGGTTGGATGGGACACTGCCGAGAGGCCAATCTGCCACCTTTATTTGGGAGCATGATGCGTGTCTCCCTTCTGATCCGGCATGTTTCCTCTCACATTGTACAGCTGTGTATTTTTAGGCTCTTCTCACAGCACCCGGCTCCCACATGTTCAGTTTATTTCAACTTCTCAGCAGCAGTTGTGGGCTGACAGCCTGCCTCCACATTGTAGGGAGGCGGGACTGCTCTCTCTCTCCCCTTTCAGGATCCGGATTTTCAGCATCTTCAACACAGAGCACTGGAGCCTTATTCTGCCTACAGTGTGACCTTAAAGGCTGCGGGGCAATTCTCGGGTGTCAGGCTGCACAGCCGAAAGGCCTTCTTCTTTG